AGGGGAGATTTATTCCTTGGCTGCCATTCCACAGGGGACAGGGCTGCTCCCTGGCAGCAGAGGAGAAACACTGGCTGGAAGGTGAGGGAAACGGGTGCAGCTGTGGGAGGCACTGACAGGTGGCATCTGCGGGCAGCTGGCTGCTGCAGCAGTGACAGGGGAGACAGCGGGCTGAGGAAATGAGCCCTGCAGCTGGAATGCTGATTCTGACACACACGTAACGACTGTGGACAGGTGGGATTCCACTGCTGGAGAGTCCATTTCTAAAGATTCTTTCATTTCCGTAAGGGACTTTGCTCATATAAGTTTATAGATTGCATAGAAACACTCGAAAAAGAATCAACTTGGAGAAATAGTTGCTCAGAGAAGAGAATCCATTTGTTTCTTTCACTAGGCTACAGCATTCCCGTGCTTATATGTTGTGAATTAGGTTTATGGAGTTCTCTTGAATTTGAGTGGCATATTCAGAAGAACATAACAATTTTTTAAGTTTTCTTTTTACTTACAAAACAGTGATTTTGATTAAGTCATTGCTGGGAGTCAAGTTCTGCATGGTCTACAGACGTGGCAGCTTCCTTCTTCTGGCAGCTCCTGGGCTAACTGGAGCCAGCTCTCTGAGCGCTCCCATTTCCTCATTTCGGGTTGGGTCTGGACACCATTACAGCAAGTGCTCTTTGGTTTTCCTCAGTTACAAGAATCAGATGACAGACTCACCATGATTAATGCTGAGGGCAAACTATTTAATCCTATGAAACATGATGAAGTGTCCAAACTGGGGAAATAGATATTTTGGATTTTTATGTTTGAGCAGACAGATACTCAACAAAAATCCAGTTTCCTTTCTAGAAAGTCAACAAAGCTTGCATGTCTGTTGATATCATTTTGGCAGCATTTCAAATGAATTTAGAAAGAGAAAAAAATTTTAAATAACAGGTTATTTGGAATAATTTCAGATTTACAAAAGTTGCAACTTTTACAATTTACAAGAATTGCAGAGATAACTGTGTACCAGTTGCCCGGTTCCCCTGTAGTGAACATTACTTTACCCCGATATATTCATCAGTGCTAAGCAACCAACACTGGCACATTACATTTAACTAAACTCCAGACTGAACTGGATTTCACGAGTTTTTCTATTAAGGTCCTTCTGCTCCCCGCGGCTGTTGGAAGCCCCACATCCCAGTTAGAGTGCATGTCTCCTTGGTTGCTCTGGACTGTGATATTCTTGTTTTTCCTTGTTTTTCGTGACCTTGAATGTTTTTTTAAAGTTCTGCTTAGCTATTTAATATTCTTCACTTCAATATTTCTCAATTAGGCATGGGTTATGAATTTTTGGAAAGAATACCAAGGAGATATTCTTATGCCCTTAGGACATCATACTGGGGGGTAACCAATATCCACACGACAGCCCTCTGAGAGTGTTAACTGTCATCATTTCATAAAGAAGCAGTTTGCTGGTTTCTTCAATAGTAAAGTTACTAAATCATTTTTAGGAATTGAACATCCTAAGAAAATATAACAAGCTATATCAGTGCCAGAGGAGAGAGTTATGTGTTAGTGAAACAGAACTATGGTGCTGTATGACTATTTTGTTGTTTTCATTTTAGAATAAGTAAATTTGAACCATCCAACAAGGGGAATACTAAACAGATATTTAAAAACTATTCTTCTCCTGAAATTATTAATCATCTATCAGACAGATTTTTTAAATCATAACATGATTGAGGAATCTGGATTAAATTCTGGGCTGCAGTATATACGAATTTAGGGAACTTACCTAATGTCCCTGTACCTCAGTTTCTTTACTTGTAACCTAAACTTTCTGTAAAGGTAACAGTATCCACCTCGAAGGGTTGTTTGGAGGTTGAATGAGTCAGTATTTGTGGAGCACTTAGAAGGGCACAAAACCAAGCTCTGCCCCTTGGGGTGGGTACAGGTTTAGAAACTTGCCCACAGTATGTGGCAACCAGACAAAGGAAACAGCACGTTCCATATTTACCCAGAATCCTGTCAGCTCTTAGAATGTAACTACTGTGTTTATTCAAAGAAAAGGTGCAAATTTTTAGTGACCTGTTAAAATGAGTTTCATAGACAAAAGTTGAGATATCGGAGGGAAAAAACGTCTTCAGGCCTTTCTTTTATAAACTTCATGCAACGAACATGTTGCACTTGCCAACACACCCAACTATAATTAGAAAGTGAAACAACATATCTTTCAAGTTTTAAAGACTCACTTTTCATATTTTTGGGTCAGTTTCCAGTCAAATTCCAGAAAGATATTGACGATGAGCTGAGTAACTGCACAAACTCTCAATTGACTAGGAGCTAGTCATGTAATTCACAACCTTAGGATTATTTCTCATTTCCTATTTCTTCATTCAAATTTTAATCACCCCTCAATTTTCCTAGTATTTCTGTTATGATTATACTGATAAATACTAGAGTACTTTTAAAGATGGTAATTCCATTATCCTTTCCATGGAGACAGAAAGCCTTTTATTCAAAGTCTCTTTACAGATGAAGTGATTGAAAGTGGGACAATGAACTAAATCAACGATCCATTTCAAAACTGAAAAAAACCTAAGTGCACTTGCCAACACACCGAGATGTGCTTTTCTTTCTGAAAACATGATACATAAAATTAAA